AACGTGGACAGTCTACTAGCGTCACGCCAAGAAACAATCATTTTCACAGTACCTGCCTCAGGAAACTCCTCGACATCAGGTGGCAAGACAAAGTCCCGGATACCGAGGTCCTCGCTAAAGCGAACCTACCTAGTATCTTCACCACTCTGATGCAGTCTCAGCTCCGTTGGATGGGACACGTAGCCCGTATGGAAGCCCACCGGCTCCCGAAACAATTATTCTTCGGAGAACTCACGATAGGCAAGCGCTTCTACACAAACTCTAGAGATATGGGATTCAAGGCACCACTAAAACATGGATCTCTAGCTTCCTCAGCCACCGACGCCAAGCAGTAGTGGTGGGCGGTACAAGCTCCTCCTTTGTCGATGTGAAGCCAGGGGTCCCCCAGGGATCAGTCCTGGGCCCCTGTTTGTTCCTAACATACATTAATGACCTACCCGAGAATCTGACATCACAGGCAAGACTGTTCGCAGATGACACTGCAGTGTATAGGACGATCGCCAACAGATCGTTAGCTGAGTGGGAGATAAGCTGGGACATGGAATTTCACCCTGCCAAGTGCCAGACACTATCAGTCTCTAGAAGTTGTTCTCCTCTACACTACCAATACAAACTGCACGGCCATATACTTGAGCCAGTTTCCTCCGTAAAGTACCTGGGTGTTACCATTCAAAGAGAGGTCCGCTGGGACGAGCATATTAACAATGTATGTAACCAAGCAAACAAGACCCTAGGGTTCTTAAGGCGAAATCTACAGATTGGCAACTCCTGTGTGAAAGAAATAGCAAATAAAGCCTTTATCCGTCCGATTTTAGATTATGCATCTTCAGTCTGGGACCCATTTACCCAGAAGAGCATTTACAGGTTGGAGGCTGTCCAGCGACGAGCAGCACGCTTTGTCCTAAACCGCTACAGGAATACCTCTAGTGTTGGCAGCATGCTAGAAACACTAGGCTGGTCACCATTGGAGAAACGACGACGACAATCCAGGCTCTCCATGATGTACAAGATGAATAATGGGCTGGTCCACTGTTCCAGTATTAAAATATATTAATAAGACACGAACAAATTGTGTCAATAGAACAATATGAGTTAGCTTTAATAATAATTGTACATTATACAGAATTAAACGTTTCGGCACATGCCTTTATCAGTACAAACAAACACAACACATTTAAATAAGTATAAATTAAATTTACATAATGTCAATATATATATCCTACCTAAAACAGAAAAAATATAGGAGAGGGTGCTTAAACCTGACAAAAACAAAGTAAAGAGATGTAGAAAGGAAGTGATTCAAACATAATTGGAAAAACCAAACAGGAAAAAGACATGGCAGCTAAGTAAAACTATGGATTTGGTTCAATCCATATGGAGACAACGTACCAAATCTAGTTATTAATTTGTTCTCCATATAGATTCTATCTGCAGTGTTACTAGTATAGAGTATACCAGTAACTACAATATCTGAGATACCATTATGGTTAGGGCTATTGAAATGTTTGGAGACCGGACAGAGAGCGTGTTTATTTATGTTATAGAGGTGCTCTCTGAAACGGTCCCCAAGGCGACGACCTGTCTCTCCTATGTATAGTTTACCGCACTTTTTGCAAATGATGGTGTAAATCACGTTGCGACTTGTGCAGGTAAAGCCATCTTTTATTCTGAATACTCCCAGAGGGAAAGTGATCGTATCAGTTTCGATCACATAGGGACATGAGTTGCAACGGCTACGGTTGCAACATTTTGTGCCTTTATATGCTTTAATAGCAGGGAGGTGGCTTCTAACTAGCATGTCCCTAAGGCTCTTGTCCCGCCGGAAAGCGAAAAGAGGAGGTTTTCTAAAAATCGCATTTGTGACAGGGTCCGCCATAAGAATGGAGCGGTTTTTAAGAACCAGAGAGCGAGCTTTTAGGTTGTGGGGATGAAAAGTTAAGATAAATTTAGACCTATCGCTAGTGTCAGAATGAGTAGCTTTAAAAGAAGCCTGTCTAGTCATACCTTTAACTCGAGTGACAGCTGCTTTTAAAATTTCTTCGGGGTATAATCTGCGTCGGAAAAAATCCAACATTTCAGACATTCTTTCTCCAAAATCTTCTTCATTACTACATAGTCTTCTGAGTCTCAGCAACTGAGAAAATGGGATGGAGTTTTTACACCATTGAGGGTGGGATGATGAATATAGCAAGAAGCTATGACTGTCTGTTTGTTTATAAAAAATGGACGTAGATATTTTGTTCTCATGAAGGTTAATTCGTAAGTCCAAAAAATTGATGGTGCTTTTATGGATCATTGAAGTGAATTTAATTGTTGGATGAAAATTTCCAATGAAGTAAATAAAACTTTCTAGTTCTGTTATGTCCATATTAGTAATCCCTATACAATCATCAATGTATCTTCTGTAGTATTCTGGGAAAGGACCTTGGTAGTGTTCTCTCCAAAGATGTTCCAAATGGCCCATAAATAAGCATGCATAACTTGGTCCCATTTTCGTTCCCATAGCAACACCACTGATCTGATCGAAAAATTCGCCATTGAATTCAAACGAATTAAGCTGTAGAACCAATTCAGTCAAACGTACAATGGCACTTGTTGGAAAATTGGGATTAGGATTCGTATTCAGAAAAAATGAAATTGCGATGAGTCCATCTGTGTGGGGAATCGAGGTGTACAGTGAAGAAACGTCCATTGTAAAAAGTAAATGGGTTTCATTAGGTAAAACCAAGGACTCGAGAGATTTGATCATGTGGTTAGTGTCCTTAATATACGATGGTAAATTTTCAACCATGGGCTGGAAAACTGTATCCAAAAACTCAGAAATCAGTTCAGTAGGACAAGAACAAGCTGAGACAATAGGTCTTCCTGGACTTCCCTCCTTGTGAATCTTTGGAAGCAAATACAAGCATGGTTTACCAAGATCACTGTCATAAATACGTAAGTTTGAAGCAGACGCGGGTAATTTGCCAACTTGAATAAGTTCCTCGATAGTTTCCTTGACAATTTCATTATTCTGGACAATGGGGTCGTTGGACCTCGGCGTATAAAATGTTTTATCTTGTAATTGTTTGGAGGCCTCTTCAATGTAGAGCTTCTTATCCCAAACAACAACAGCCCCGCCCTTGTCTGCCGGTTTAATAACGATATCCTGACGTGTTTTGATATGGGAGAGTGCTCGCCATTCTTGTTTAGATAAATTTGATTTATGGAGCGGAGTTTGGCGTAGATTTTTTATTTGATTCTCTGTACATTTAATGTAAAGGTCAAGTGCTTTAGATTGATCAGGTGGAGGTGTCCATGTAGATTTGCGTTGTCGTTGTACAGGAAATGAATCCTCATCCTCGTTAGATGGAGTCTCGTGAAAGTAAAGTTGTAGTCTCAGTGAACGAAAGAAACGATGTGCGTCTGACATTAATTGATATGTGTCACTAGATGATCGAAGTGGGATAAATTTTAGTCCTTTACTTAATACAGATCTTTCTTGTTCAGATAGTGAAAGATCTGGTGGTATACAAACCACTAGGTTTGGTTCATTTTCCGTTACAGGAGTTGTAGTAACAACAACATTCTTGGCAGATTTAAGATTTTCAATTTTTTTCTTTTTTCCATCAGATAATAAAATATAGAGTTCCCTATTGAGTCCATGAATAATTAAACGAATGAGATCGAATAATAAGTTATTATCTTGTGTATTCTTTCGAAAGTGTTCTTCCAGGGTACGAATCCTATCAGTGAGTTGAGATATGAAGCGCTTGTGGGAGTTTAAGACAGTCCTCATGCGACTAAAAGCACATTTGTTTTCAATGGTCAAAAGTTTAGATTTATCAAACGAATTAAAGGCACAACCAGCAGGATGAAAATTAGTACGAAAACCTTTTGGTATAAGACGTTTGCGAATGCAATTATTTAAAAAGTTGACATGAGTAGTATACATTCCAGTATTAAACAGAAACTCGTCCCTCTCCCCTATAGCCAGCGACGAGGCCATGACATGCAATTCAGGCTCCTACCAGCAAGAAGCAAGTATAGGAGCTGCTCATTCCTGCCCAAGACAATCAGGGGCTGGAACAATCTTTCAAAAGGAACGGTTGAGGCGACAACACTAGACACATTTGTGTCTATTGCGTCCAGCCTTCAAACCCCTTGTGCATGATTTCCTCATCAAGAACAGTAACAGAAACATTGCAAATCCCATCTACATGCATAGGAGCCAAAATGATCAATAAATTGATCGCGGGCCCTTAGGAAGAAGAAGAAGAAGGAGGTAAAAAAAGGCGTTACAAAGACTCACTGAAAGTGGCACTAAAGGCCTTCAGCATAAACCCAACTCAATGGGTGCAGACAGCCCAGGACAGAGCCAGGTGGAGAGCTGTTGTCAAGAAGGGGGCTAAATCCGATGAAGCTAATAGAATAACCACAGCTGAGACACGGAGGCTTGTCCGAAAGAGCAACATTAAGTCACCGTCTGAAGCAACTATTCCATGCCCACAGTGTCATAGATTATTCCGAGCAAGGATCGGTCTAACAAGCCACCTACGAGCTCACCGTAATCCCAACCTCCCTCTAACCGGATGATTCGATGGTCCTAGTCGACTTCGGCGGACGAACAACAACAACATTATTGAAAGAAATTTAAGTTGAATCCCCCTTGTCATGTTTGTATGTGTGGCCTTATAATGGGAGCATTTGGTCTACCTGTACCCGATACTTGGCATTCATTTCTCTTGGTACCTTTTCGCAAAGATCACTTGTATTGCTTTGATTTAACTCATCAGCAATGTTCTTTCAAAGCTGACAATGCGATTAGAGATTATATGCGTATCCACATTCACGAGCCCGGGGACATAAGAATTATTAGAATAGGTTAGAGAGTTTCGGTTCTAAATGAAAAGTTTATAAGTAATAATAATTGATATCCCGGTTTACCAGGATGTGACGTAACTCGTTTTGTTGTAAGGAATGTGTTGTGATTTTGAGATGAACACCATTCAGGTTAACATAAGTCTGACTTCCTATCTATCACAACGTGGGTAGTGGTTCAAGACAACTCGATTTGGGGGTATGCATCTTTGTTGAATCAAAAGATTTCCTTAATATCGCAGATTTCTCAAATATTGAATCGACATAAAACAATGTAATTTAAGTACAATGTCCAATGTTTCGAGATTTTATGAGCAGCCGAGTGGATACCCTGATTGAGCTGTAGGTGAAAGCTAAACAAAATGTGCACATTTTGAGAGTTTTAAAATAACTCTGTTTTATAGTTTGAATTGTAATTATTATTGTAAACAAAACAAAAAAAAAAAAAAAGGATTCGAATATGATTTTCATAACTACGATATTAAATCTCGATAAAAATCAAGCTCTTTTATATCTTTCTGTCTCAAGATTCTTGAAACATAAAAAATGATTGAGCTGTAGGTGAAAGCTAAACAAAATGTGCACATTTTGAGAGTTTTAAAATAACTCTGTTTTATAGTTTGAATTGTAATTATTATTGTAAACAAAAAAAAAAAAAAAAAAAAGGATTCGAATATGATTTTCATAACTACGATATTCAGTCTCGATAAAAATCAAGCTCTTTTATCTCTTTCTGTCTCAAGATTCTTGAAACATAAAAATCTAACCACGCCTATTTTTATACTACATAATGGTATAGAAAGTGAGTTAGTTCTCCGAGATCAAATCCCCTGGGTACGAAGACATTATTAATAAGTTAGTTAGTTCTTCAATTTCAATGCCCAGGCTATGCAGAAATTATAAAGTTCTCTAGTGCCAAACCCCAGGGTATGCAGACATTACAAAGTGACTCAGTTCTCCAATGTCAAATCCCCTGGGTGCACAAACATTTCTGACATGGTAAAAATCTAACTACTCTTGGTTGTACTGATAGGAAAATTTTCGATTGTTCTTGTAAGCCAATTCGTCATTGATTTGTTACGAAGAAGAACTTTGAAAAAGAAACACTTGTTTAAAAAAAAAAAAACACTTTGGAAAATACAGAAAGTGGGGTCAAAACAGGGCCTGACTAGCGTTAAGACAGGGCCTGACTGGCGTTAAGACAGGGCCTGACTGGCGTTAAGACAGGGCCTGACTGGCGTTAAGACAGGGCTTGACTGGCGTTAAGACAGGGCCTGACTGGCGTTAAGACAGGGCTTGACTGGCGTTAAGATAGGGCCTGACTGGCGTTAAGACAGAGCCTGACTGGCGTAAAGACAGGGCCTGAAAGAACCCTATTGTTAATGGTTTTATCGGCTCCGCGGAGAAGATTGCGCTGTGCGTCTTTGCAGATGTAAAACTGAGAGCGTCGTCAGGTGAAGGGGAAACAGATGAGAACGCCATGTCCTGGTGACACTCAGCTGGCGTGTGGCTCAGGATGAGGAGAATCGTGTTACTGCTGGGTGTTTGTCAAGGTAAGATGTCACGTATTACTGCTGGGTGTTTGTCAAGGTAACACGTCAACGTGTTACTCCTGGGTGTTTGTCAAGGTAAGATTCACATGTTACTGCTGGGTCTTTGTCAAGGTAACATTCACATGTTACTGCTGGGTGTTTGTCAAGGTAACATGTCAACGTGTTACTGCTGGGTGTTTGTCAAGGTAAGATTCACATGTTACTGCTGGGTGTTTGTCAAGGTAAGATGTCACGTGTTACTGCTGAGTGTTTGTCAAGGTAATATGTCATGTGTTACTGCTGGGTGTTTGTCAGGGTAAGATGTCACGTGTTACTGCTGGGTGTTTGTCAAGGTAATATGTCACGTGTTACTGCTGGGTGTGTGTCAAGGTAAGATGTCACGTGTTACTGCTGGGTGTTTGTCAAGGTAAGATGTCACGTGTTACTGCTGGGTGTTTGTCAAGGTAACATGTCATGCATATAATGTTCGATACTTGAGTTTGATTTCAATTTAATGATGGAAGGTTTGTTTCTAGGATGAGAAGCCAGCTGCAGTAGTATTGCTGTTGTGTAAATGTAAGCATTGAAATCTTTGCGGTATGATGGACCATCGCAAACGTGAAACTTCGCGGTCAGTGACTACCGTTGGCCAATATTTCTGAATGAACTTTGAGCATTCCTCTCTTCAGACTTATTGCAGATACACACATGTGCAGTGGCGTAGCTTAGGTTATTGCTACCGAGGAAACAGCTCAAGCTTTTTTGCCGCCACTTTCACGAAAAATCTCCGCCGTTGGCCGAAAAAGTAGGGCCTCAATGGTTGAAAAAAAAAATGCCACCCTGGTCCCCCCCCCCGTACCCCCCTTCCCCCCGTCCCGTCTCTCCCAGTCACTACAAACGCCACTGCACCGAAGATGTGCCGGACACAACATAGGTAGACATCACAGACCCATTCTCACGAGACAAACAACACAAAACACGGATCGCTCAAATATGTTTAATCCCATCAGTTGTTCACTTGGCATCACGGGTTTTTTTAAAAATAACATACATTCACATAATATAAAATAAGTCATTCTTAGTTTTCAAATTTCTCGGCTTATTAAGATATTTCTGAGACCTCGTCCATTCAAAATTGGCGCCCACCAATTCGTGCATACATAACCTTAATAAACAGAAAATACCATGGGCGCCCGCAGCTAGGGGCAAGGTGGGGCACTTACCCGCCCCCCCCCCCTGGATTGATTGGATAAAAAAATTTTAGACAAAAATAGAGATAAAAAAATTATTAAAGTAAAGAGAAAATAAAGAGAAAGTAACTAAGCTGATGTCCTGTCCGTTCGTTCACCAAACAAATACGCTACAGTAAATTAAAACTACATTAAAACATTACTAAAAAAATTTTGCCCCCCCCCCCTGGAAAGTTAATCGCTTTTAAAAAAAATTTTTCCCCCCCCCCCGGCCCTTTAACCCCTCCCCCCCCCCCTCCCCCCCCCCCGCCCGCTAGAAAGTTTTCTGCGGGCGCCCATAGAAAATACACATGGTAATGTACCATCATTGGAGATCATGATTATTTCTTCTTAATCTTAAAGTACTTCAGTTGCTTCCTGACAAAAAGTTTCACTATTTACTCTCAATTTTAATAATATATATATATATATTTCACTATTGCTGTTGTAGTCGTGATTCCCGTTTCATCTTCCTGCAGCTGTGTTCCTACACGTTGTGCAAGCCCAAGGCCAGGACAAAAATTTAGACAAGTATTGCTACTCACAGTTGCCTCCCAGCAGGAAGCAGCACACCAGCTCATTTGGCCTCGTGCACTTCATCCGGATATGCAGGTACACACAAGATGGTGTAGCAGCCGATAAAATGGGGAATAAATGAAAATTTTAAATTAAAAAAAAAAAGAGGAAATTTTGTCCCCAAAACTTATTTAAGTGCCGGCGTTCAGACGCAGCGTAAAGATTGAGGCTATTGGTCAGTTAAAGGCATTTATTTAATACTATTTGCCTGAATCGGCCGCTGTCAAAGAATCGCACAATGGACGAGTTCTGAGAGGAAATTTTGAAGTTGAAGGTAGTTCAATTTTTTTTAATGGAGTATTGCCATTATTTATCATAAATGCAAAAGCCAAAGGGTACATGCCCAAATGGTAAATGCCCAAAAAAACACATGCCCAAATGGCACAAATGCAAATGGCCCAAGCCCAAATGGCACACATGCAAATAGCCCATGCCCAAATGGTACATGCCCATAGGGCACATGAACAAATAGCACATGTCCCTATGGCACTTATGCAAATGGCACAAGCTCAAATGGCGCATGCCCAAAAGCCACATGCTCAAATGGTACATGCCCAAAGGACACATGCACAAATAGCACATGCCTAAATAGCACATGCCTAAATAGCACATGCCTAAAGGGTACATATGAAAATGGCACATGCTCAAAAGACCACGGGACCTCAATGATCAAACACATGCCTAAGATTGTGTTAGCTTGTGTATGACTCGTAGATATGATGCAAACTAAAGGCGCAGAACTAGCGAAAACCAGAGAATTTATATATCAGAGTTCGCGGCCACTTACCCCCACCACCAATTTAAAGTAAACTGTTACACTTGGCACCGCCACCTATTTTGTAAATCCTTAGGCAAGATCTGACTTTGTGTCAGGCAACATTCATTTGTGCATTCTGACTGCTCAGTTATCCGATTAAAGTAACTCCACTACCTTTTAACCTTTGACCTATGACATCCCATTTCAGTGATATCGACATATACAGTGACTGTTTGTTGGCGAGTCGGGTCAAAGAGGAGGCAGACATGGGGTATAAAGTACAAGTTTACGAGAAGTTCTTCCCGCCAGCGTACGACCTCAAGAGGGCTGGGTACATGTTCTGCTCGGATGAACTCCCGCGAAGTAAATTTAAAGTAGATCAAGATTATCCCCCTTTTCCCCCTTAAGGAGCGGTTCTTATACTAGTTTCCTCAGAATTTTGGTGATTTTATTAGCTTATTATATGTAAGCAAAGAACAAACTAACAATTGTTTTTTTTTTAAACTACCATTCCCTGACACAGAGAGCCGTGGCGTACCATCCACTGACAGTGAGAACCCTGACGTCCCATCCACTGGTTCGGAGAGCCGCGACGTTCCATCCACTGACACGGAGAGCCCTGACGTCCCATCCTCTGACACGAAGAGCCCTGACGTCCCATCCACTGGTTCGGAGAGCCCTGACGTCCCATCCACTGACACGGAGAGCCCTGACGTCCCATCCACTGACACGGAGAGCCCTGACGTCCCATCCTCTGACACGGAGAGCCCTGACGTCCCATCCACTGACACGGAGAGCCCTGACGTCCCATCCACTGGTTCGGAGAGCCCTGACGTCCCATCCACTGACACGGAGAGCCCTGACATCCCATCCACTGGTTCGGAGAGCCCTGACGTCCCATCCATTGACACGGAGAACCCTGACATCCCATCCACTGACACGGAGAGCCCTGACATCCCATCCACTATTTCGGAGAGCCCTGACGTCCCATCCACTGGTTCGGAGAGCCCTGACGTTCCATCCACTGACACGGAGAGCCGCGACGTCCCATCCACTGACACGGAGAGCCCTGAAGTCCCATCCACTGGTTCAGAGAGCCGCGAGTTCCATCCACTGACACGGAGAGCCCTGATGTCCCATCCACTGGTTCAGAGAGCCGCGAGTTCCATCCACTGACACGGAGAGCCCTGAAGTCCCATCCACTGGTTCAGAGAGCCGCGAGTTCCATCCACTGACACGGAGAGCCCTGATGTCCCATCCACTGGTTCAGAGAGCCGCGAGTTCCATCCACTGACACGGAGAGCCCTGAAGTCCCATCCACTGGTTCAGAGAGCCGCGAGTTCCATCCACTGACACGGAGAGCCCTGATGTCCCATCCACTGGTTCAGAGAGCCGCGAGTTCCATCCACTGACACGGAGAGCCCTGAAGTCCCATCCACTGGTTCAGAGAGCCGCGAGTTCCATCCACTGACACGGAGAGCCCTGATGTCCCATCCACTGGTTCAGAGAGCCGCGAGTTCCATCCACTGACACGGAGAGCCCTGAAGTCCCATCCACTGGTTCAGAGAGCCGCGAGTTCCATCCACTGACACGGAGAGCCCTGATGTCCCATCCACTGGTTCAGAGAGCCGCGAGTTCCATCCACTGACACGGAGAGCCCTGACGTTCCATCCACTGACACGGAGAACCCTGACGTTCCATCCACTGACACGGAGAACCCTAACGTTCCATCCACTGGTTCGGAGAGCCGCGACGTTCCATCCACTGACACGGAGAGCCCCTGACGTCCCATCCACTGACACGGAGAGCCCTGACGTCCCATCCACTGACACGGAGAGCCCTGACGTCCCATCCACTGACACGGAGAGCCGCGACGTTCCATCCACTGACACGGAGAGCCCCTGACGTCCCATCCACTGACACGGAGAGCCCTGACGTCCCATCCACTGTTTCGGAGAGTCCTGACGTCCCATCCACTGACACGTGGAGCCGTGGCGTTGGCGAGTCACGTGACTATGTAAAGCAAATAAAAACACGTCCTCTGTCATTTAACAAGTCGCGACATCTCATACATGCAATCTCCTTTATACGCCCTGAGTCTTACCTCTCACGAATATACATCAGCATGTACCGACCAGCACACGCGGGATAAGGAGGAAAATGGTGATACTTTACAGGTGCACCAAACAAAAAAGACTTTAAGTCGACCAACGGAAATCCAAGATGATGCCAGTCTTGTTAAAAAGTGGGTTTAGTTTTCAACTAAATCTCCCCCCCCCCTTTAAGAGAGAAGGTATTTTGCAGCAGCCTAACTGAGCTACGAGCTGGTACAACGTCTTTTCGACTGAGAAGATGTCAAAAAACTTAAACTCGCTGTCAAGAATTGTTCATGGAGATTAGAGTTTGGTGGTTTCGTCTCCGTTGTCTAGGGGTATGATAATTTACTAACACACTGTCACCGTACACCAGTACACAAGAGTACATAATCACAAGACTCAAAGTGCCTTCAATCTTAATATTTACACTTTATAATTAATAACACATTTAGAACACGATCAATATAACGATGTATAGCACAACCCACACAATTATTAACGTAAGACTTGCTAACAAACTTAGCCAAAATACCAAGCACTAAAGGGATCGCTGGACTACACTGCGATTCCATTTACTTAAGTATCCCTTCGCGTATACTTCCGATACTCAGTCAGGCACAACACCGACTCTCAGGGATTCTAACACCTTTACACTAGCCCATTAAGAGGCCAAGGGATGACTTTCATCTCAGTGCCTTACACGACATGGGAAATGATGTTGAAATCTGTGAATGTTTTAATGGTGTTTAGGCTACTCGCGCTGCTTGGTTCAAGGGTTTGACTTGCTGTTTCAGTGATCAACAATTACTTGTTGGACGAGGACGTCATCTTCCAGTGCGAGCAGAGAGTGAACGTGGCCATCTGTGAAAAGGCAGCGGAAGCGAAAGTTGAGAACCTCGCGGAAGTCATCAAGAAGAACGAAACGGTGATGATAATGAACCTGTCCTGCAAGTGAGTTTTTTTTCTAGGCCGACCTGCAGGCTGTGTGTGATTCCCATTGTATGTACGAAAAAGGGTGTGTATGACGCAATGTGTGTATGACGCAATGTGTGTATGACGCAATGTGTGTATGACGCAATGTGTGTATGGCACGATGTGTGTGTGACCCATTGCTTGACATGAAAGATGTAGCACGCAGGGTGTGTAGGACGCAGAGTTTGTAATGCAGAGTGTGTATGACGATGGCTGTGCCTGACTCAGGGTGTGTAGGACGCAGAGCTTGTAACGCAGAGTGTTTATGACGATGGCTGTGCCTGACTCAGGGTGTGCAGCACCCGGTTTGTATAGACAAAGGCTGTGTATGACGCCGGATGGTAATGACGCATGATAAATGTGACCCATCCTGAGTGCTTCTGTGGCCTACTATGTATATAAAACATAAAGATTACCCCTCCTGCAGTGCTTCTGTGGTCGAATATGTATATAAAACATAAATATTACCCCTCCTGGAGGGCTTCTGTGGTCTAATATGTATATAAAACCTAAACATTACCCATCCTGCAGCGCTACTTTGGCCTAATATGTATATGTTATGTAGCATACATTGCCCGTGCTTGAATTTTATTTGAACTAAATTAGAATCCTAGCAGACAGTAACGTCTGTTGTGGGCGTGGCCTATTCGTTTGAAGTATCTTGTTTACAACCGTGTTTACCAATTAAACATGTTAGACTGTCTTCCTGGTATTTTCTTGAATGTGCTCGATAACCCGAGAAATGTAAACAACACGTCATAAGTCTTTCTGGAAGGCAGGGCTTACGCCACCTATATAAGGGATTGACAGGCACGGACGGAGAGACGGAGAGTCAGATAGCTTTTATTAATTTCACGAGACGTGTATTATTCTTTGTGTTCTTATATATGTGTTTATTTCGCATTCATCATTATTCATTGTCACATTATTCTAACTGTGTTAACTGTGTACCTGTACAAGATCTACCATACTGTAAGTTGATGATTTGTAATGATATTTCTTTTCTTTGTAATTACATTAATACTTATTAAATCTTATTAGTTGTAACTAGGAACTGTTTTGGGTGTCGTATCTTTAATATTGTTGACTCTATGGTATCGTCCTTTGTTAGGCACTGATTACAACGAGCCAATTAAAATTAACATAGGAGATTAATTTCTCATATTAGAAGCCAGTGCGTAATAGTATATAAAACATAAACATTACCCCTCCTGCAGTGCTTCTGTGGCCTACTATGTATATATAACCTAAAAATTACCCATCCTGCAGTGCTTCTGTGGCCTACTTGAGCTGTCTGACCAGAGAGTTTACCAACTGTGACCAGCGGATTGAGCCATTCTTCAAATATTATTTCGCCAGGCTCGGGCCGTAAGTCTTTGAAACATTGATCACATTTTTTAATGGTCAGGGGAAAAAATAATGTTATCGTCATGTATATGTAAGAGTGGATGATTGAAAAAGGAAGATTATATATTTATAACTCCTTTAATCGAAACGAAGCTCAGGGATAGGATTGTATAATAAATAGCTGTTTAAAAAAAATCAAGAATATTAATCAGGGGGTAAAAAAATTAGGTACGTCAGGGTATTTTGAAAGGTAAAAGGTGAAAGGTAAAAGGTAAAACGTAATGTAGGAGGTGGCTCAAAGGAACGTGTAGGAGGCGGGAGAGAAGTATATGGTAGTGAAAGGGAAGAGTAAGTAGAGAGGTAAGGGGGGCGGGTATGAGGTTAGAATAGGGCGTGAATGTTCGGTATGGGTGAGGGGTAAGAAAGTGGGTCTGGAGTCAGAATAGGGCATGTATGGTAGTATGGGTGAGGGGTAAGAAAGTGGGTCTGGAGTCAGAATAGGGCATGTATGGTAGTATGGGTGAGGGGTAAGAAAGTGGGGCTGGAGTCAGAATAGGGCATGTATGGTAGTATGGGTGAGGGGTAAGAAAGTGGGGCTGGAGTCAGAATAGGGAGGGAGGGGTAGGAAGGGGGGTCGGGAGTCAGAATAGGGCATGGAGGGTGGTATGGGTGAGGGGTAAGAAAGTGGGGCTGGAGTCAGAATAGGGCATGTATGGTAGTATGGGTGAGGGGTAAGAAAGTGGGGCTGGAGTCAGAATAGGGCATGTATGGTAATATGGGTGAGGGGTAAGAAAGTGGGGCTGGAGTCAGAATAGGGCATGTATGGTAGTATGGGTGAGGGGTAAGAAAGTGGGTCTGGAGTCAGAATAGGGCATTTATGGTAGTATGGGTGAGGGGTAAGAAAGTGGGGCTGGAGTCAGAATAGGGCATGTATGGTAGTAAGGGTGAGGGGTAAGAAAAGGGAGGGGGGGAGCTGGGATTAGAATTTTGAATTTAAATATTGAAGTTAAGAACATTGTTAAAAATTTCGAAAACAACAACCCACGAAACAAATGAGAATTATATGCGTGTGCAATAAAGTGTGAACATTATGTATTTAAGACGAATTTTACCCACAAAGTGTCATCATATTTACCATACACATTTTGCAATATATATATATTCTTGTTTCGAACGTCGGCCTCAATGGATTGTGGTAAATTAGGACGTACGTTGTTTATGGTCGTATTAAAGTTAACCCTTTCCTGTCCTAGTCCACACACACTGTTGGTTATATTTAAACCTTTCCCGTCCTAATCCTCAGCGATTGACTGCTAAAATTAACCCTTTCCTGTACTAATCCGCAGATATTGTCTGCTAAAAATCAACCCTTTCCTGCCCTAATCCGCAGACATTTGTATGTTAAAAATTAACCCTTTTCTGTCCTAATCAGCATACATTGTCTGTTAAAATGTGTTAATATGATAACCCTTTCCCGTTAATCCAATGAGACTGTACGTTAAACGTTAACCATTTCCCATCCTCATTTGCAGATATTGGCTGCTTAAAATTAACCCTTTCTGTCCTAAACCGCAGAGATGGCTGTTAAAATTAACCCTTTTCCGCCCTAATCAGCAGAGATTGTCTGCTAAAAATTAACACTTTCCTGTCCTAATCCGCATAAAATTTTCTGTAAAAAATGTACCCTTTCCTGTCCTAATCCACAGAGAATGTCTGCCAAAATTAACCCTTTCCCACCCTAATCCGCAGACATTGTCCTCAAAAATTAAACCTTTCCTGTTCATATCCGCAGAGATTGTCTGCTTTTGAACAACGTCTACAACTCCATCGTCCTCGCCGAGCAGTGCGTCGAGGAGGAGGTGAGTGACGAAGACGGAACGAAAAAGAACAGAGGAGCCTCAAAGAACTTTGATGGGCGCGTCATCCTGTGGCTGCTGGCCGCCTTAGTGGGCGGCCATCTTGTCGTGACGTCATAGCCCGGATGTCATCGAAAGATCTGGATCAAGATGATTTCTTTTATCCGTTTGCTAATGTTTAACGCGTATCTTTTCAAATAAATACCTTGGTAAATTTAAATGCATACTTTTGTTTTCCTCCTACGGGAACGGTAGACTTAATCGCTCGTTTCTAGGGCCAAGAAAGTGATATGTAATAACAGAAATATGCACTGTTCGTTTCATATATTACGTTAGGTCCACAACCTGACCTAGACGTTTTATCTACCACGTTATGGCCACAACCTGACCTTCTTCTTAATTTTGAAGGCCCACCATCAATGAATTGATCATTCTGGCTCCTATGTTTCAGAAGGGTTCGCGATGTTACTGTGCATGGTTTTCAAGGGGATACTTCACTTTGCAAGGGCTACACAGCAGTGGTATTATGAACTGGGGGTTGGAAGACAGGGGGCATTAGAAACAAATGTGTCGAGTGCAGCTGCCTCAACTGTTGCTTTTGGAAGCTCGTTCCAGTCCGTGATTGTCTTTGGCAGGAATGAGGAGCTCCTGTACTGAGTTCTTGTTTTTATTAGCCTGAACTGCCTGTCATGGCATCGTCGCTGTCTAAGGGAAGATGGACGAGTTTCTGTTTGATGCCGGAGCAGTGGACCAGGCCATTTTTGATCATGTACAACATGATGAGCCTGGATATAGTCATCGTCGTTCTTCCAATAGTGGCCAGCCCAGTGCTTCTAGCATGCTGCCAACACTTGATGTGCTTCTGTAGTGGTTCATAACAAAGCGTGCTGCCCGTCGCTGAACCGCCTCCAACTTGTCACTGATTTTCTGGGTAAATGGGTCCCAGACTGTGGATGCGTAATCTAAAAGCTGCCGGACAAAGGCTTTATAGGCCTTTTATTTCACGTTTGAGTTGCCGATCTTCAGATTTTGCCTTAGGAACCCCGGGGTCTTGTTTGCCCGTTTGAACACACTGTTAATGTGCTCGTTCCAACGGACCTCTATTTTAATGGTAACACCCAGGTACCTAACTGAGGAAACTTGCTCAAGAATATGGCCATGCAATTGGTAAGAGTGGTGTAGAGGGAATCTGCTTCTGGAGAATAACAGAGTCTGGTACTTGAAGGGATGAAATTCCATGTTCCAGCTCATCTCCGACTCCATTTCCTTCACCATGTTAGGTCCACAACCTAAACTAGACGTTTCATCTACCATGTTAGGTCCACAAACTGACCTGTGAGAAGCGAATAATGGCGATGATTTAAAGAAGGATAACGTTTATAATGTTATAAACAATGTAATTCAACTCAATTGATAACTTTTTGTTAATCAGTTGCAAAGGAACGGGGCGCTGAGATGGCGGTCCGCCCCATGGGCGTTGTACAAACTTGTACCCGCCCCGGGCGGCACTAAGCAAAATTTCTTCGTCACTGTTTTGTCGGAAGTTGAGAGGTTACACTCTTAATGTAAATGGTTATTCTTAAAACCCACTTAGACTTGACTTATTCAACAGGTCAATCCAGACACATATTGGCAATAAATCAGACTTCATTTGTACCCCGATTATCTATGTTAACGAAATAACTGTTAAATACATATAAATTTTATCTCTGCGTTTTAATCTTGTATTGATTGTCCAACCATACTATTTTTTGCACACGTACAAAAAGGTATACCGAAACCTGTTTTGACGAATGACCTGTGCAGTGGTTGCACGCACATCAAGAGTTTTACCACTCGGAATTCCCCTCCCCCCCTCCCCCCCCCCCGCCCCGAATTGTTGTCAGAAAGATTTGCTTGATACATTTTTTAAAGTATGATAATTGTGCTGGGAATTTTCTAAATCAAATTGGGGTGAAATTTCACGCACAACACGACTTTTACCACTCCGAATCCCCCCCCCCCCCTCCCCCCCCCCCGCCCCGAATTGTTGTCAGAAAGATTTGCTTGATACATTTTTTAAAGTATGATAATTGTGCTGGGAATTTTCTAAATCAAATTGGGGTGAAAACGAGTTTTGCGGTTTTAAAATTATGAAAACTTAGAGAAAATGAGGTTTACTTAGGAAATAACAGTGTCAGCACATTCATGTATTTAGGAATAATTGTTTCACTAATCGCCATGAATTAGTTATGAAGAAATATGGATGTTCCGACCACAAGCTTGGACAGGACCTAAATAATGAAATAATCTCTCTACAAACTGTGAGCCCGTATTTGATGCTAATGAGAGTTGATTTACATTTTTACAGACGCTTACATCACACACAACTCTACTCTCGGTTTGTCGCTTACATCACACACAACTCCACTCTCGGTTTGTATATAATGGCTCTAACGCTGTGTTCAATATAAATTTCCAGGGTTAGCAATAATTTGGATTCTTATAAAGTGCGTTATTTGAATGCTGGTTTTTGTCAAGTGACTTTAGTGGATGGCTAGTTTACGCGTTGCCGCTGCCAATTTTTCTATTTGATTATAAAACTTGAAAGACAATTGAGATGTGAGTTAACAAAAAATTTCAAACAAACCCCCATTCCCCTCTCCCCCAAAATAAAAAACAAACAAACAAACAAAAAAACCATTTCTGCATCATTGCTTAGAATGAAATAAAGACATTAAAGAAGACTGTAAGTAAGTAGAGAATGACTCAAAATAATTATATCAATAACAATTTCAGCCCAAGTGGTGGGCACCCTGGGCTGTAGAATGCGCCGAAGACATAATAATATAACACTGAAGCTGTTGAGTTTTCGATGTCTGTCGTAGAAGGGCGTACTGAGGAGTATGGCAACAACACGAATCATCTCAACACGAGTCCTCTAAACACGAGTCCTTTCAACACGAGTCCTCTCAACACGAGTCCTCTCAACACGAGTCCTCTCAACACGAGTCCTCTCAACACGAGCCCTTTCAACGTGAGTCCTCTCAACACGAGTCCTCTCAACACGCCGTCCTAACGATGCAGGCCAACGACTTGTTCTTTCGGATGTGCACTGGCCGGAGTCCTTGGAGTTCTGCCTTCTGGAAGTTATCCTCAATCCAGACGCTAAGGCGCTGTGTTTTTTCTGGCAATATGGCAACCAGGCTACATGTAAATGATATAATAAGAAACAGGAAGGGAGCAGCTCTTTTTTTAAATAGTCATAAGGTGACGGATACCTTCCCAAGAACAACGAATTCAGATCGAGGCACTCGAGCAGGCATGAGTATGACGGCAAACTTCCAATTTATGGTTAACATTATTAGTTTTTACCATAGTCAACTTTGAGCAAGTGAACAGCCTTGTTTTACGCCATGGCAGACCGGGGAAGATTATCCGATAAGATGCGATTGACGTTCACTTTGCTTAGCAGGTTCTTGTGTGAAGGTAAAATGATAGCGAGAATTCGCAGGGTTTGTTTGGGGGGGGGGGGCAGCAATAACTTTTCTCCAGGAACCTTAAACTTAATTGTTTTGAAATATCGTCATCTCTATCCTCATACAACATTAAATCTGGAGGTGTTTTCTTAGAGATTATGTGTGCAAAATTAATCACATTAATATTTGTTAGAGATTTGACGTCAACTTCCGCATGAGTAAATTAACGAAATGAAATAACAACAGAGGACTTTTCAACCTCCTAAGGTTGTAATTCAAGGTAAAGCTCAAAATGTATAAATTTTTTTTTCCAAGTGCACGAAAAGTCGTGACATGTTTCATTCCCTTTTCTTATTTTGCTAAATGTTGGTCGATAAATAGCGTCAACTTACATCAAAATTAGCAAGATCAACACCATCGAAATGGCGCCCATCATCCAGCACACAACATCATTTCAACTTCACAAAACATTAGAGGTGCACTTATTTGTGTTTTACTTCTTGCGCTAGGTTTAACAAAAATTCTTTCCACTAAGTCTTTTTTAGGAACTAGTCCCGGTATACAATAAACTGTTTTTTTTTAAATATCAACAAACAAATAATAATCATTTCATAAAATAACAAGAACCCCAATTTATATTTGTTTAAAGGTTTATAAAGAAGACAATCTCACTTTATCCCTTTGATTTTGCATCAAATCTAATCTAATGCAAGGGCTACATCTATGTCTACTCTAATGCTAGGGGTTCTTATTTATCTACTCTCATGCAAGAGCTAAATATGTGTCTACTCTAATGATTAGGCTACATCTGTGTCTACTCTAACGCTAGGGCTACATCTGTCTCCAAAGGAAGGGCTACATCAGTGTATACTCTACTGCTAGGGCTAAATATGTGTCTTCTCTAATTCAAGAGCTATATCTGTGTTTACTCTAATGCTAGAACTACATCTGTGAATACTCTGATGCAATGCCTACATCTATGTCTATAATGCCAGGGTTACATCTGTGTCCACTATAATGCAAGGGCTACATCTATGTCAATAATGCCAGGGCTACATCTGTGTCCTCTCTAATGCAAGGGCTACATCTATATCTACTCTAATGATAGGGCTGCATCTGAGTCTACTCTTATGCGAGGGCTACATCTATGTCTATAATGCCAGGGCTACATATGTGTCCACTCTAATGCAAGGGTTACATCTATGTCTACTCTAATGATAGGGCTACATATTATGTGTCTCCTCTGCAGGTGCTTAACGGCTAGGTCAGCACAGATTACACATCAACATAGTCTTGGAGAAATTACGCCTTAACAAGACAAGGATGGCGACATTTACTTTGCTTCTAATGATGTGTATAGGTAATTTAACATGTACTGTTGCGCTACGCCGTCAAATGGTCAAATCAACGGAGAATCTAAAAATTCTTGTGGAGAATCTTAAATTAGAAGAAAATCCGTGCTTTGGAAAATTCAGCAAAATACACTAACATATATAAACACACTCATTCACTCCTCTCTTTCTCTCTCACACATATAAGCACACACATATACACACTCACAAATACACATAAAAATATATTACGTTTCATTTAGTCGAAGTAACAGATAAGGATACATATTCAGTAGCACATCCAGACTACTGAAGGCCTCTCAGTCTGCGCTATCCCAAGCCTCAACTACTGTTCTTAGACACAGTTTTTGTTGACCCCCCAGTGTGTACAAGTGATTGAAAGACTGTTTTAACTTGGCCTAAACTGC